AGTTTTTATTAAAAATTACCAATGTTAATAATAATAACTTAAGTCAATATTATTCTTTCTCCTTTTTTAAAGCTACTATCAATAAAGGTATTACTTTAGCTTGACCTATGATCAATTTTTAATTTTGTGATATATTTGGTTTGACATTGGTTTGACAGAAAAAAAATTATAATATTAACATTGGTTGTTTTTACTTAGATTTTCATAAAAATAAACGGAACTGCAAACATGTTTTACTATCGTAATAACGAATAGCAACATTACATTTTTTTTTCACATTTATCACTGTTGTCATTTTCATAAAGGATTGATAAGAAGGCACACTTTCTGGTTTTTTGAAAAAGGTGGCAAGAATTGTGATATTTTTAAATTTATCACCAGTGATACCACATGTAGTTACCCGATTTATTGGAATATATAGACTTTGCTACCACATTCAACTGAACTTGGTTGTTTTTAATATTTATCACTGTGACATAGGCGTTTTTGTTAAAATGTTTCATTTTAAACTGCTGTAAATAGGTGCCTTTGTTTTGGTAGTTTTATTCCCAAAAAAATCTATGCATATACAGGTACTCATTCCTCTTTGATTTGCTCGAAAAGAAAATTTTATAAAAAATTACATTGGCTGTTTAAAAACTCATTATAATCCCTAAAATGTGATAATTAGGTAAATTAAATTAAAAAACAAACAAAAAAGTTTATTAAATTAATATTTACTCTTACAAAATAGGTTCTTGTAAGTTAACAAGCAATTATGCAGATATTACTAAGTAAATGTACTTGCTTAAAATTCACACACGAATGTGGTTTTAACATGTTAAATTAACTAACCCTTCTTATAACTCTTTCCACATGTATTCTTAGAGATGCTATTCTTTTACTTAATTGTACATCTTCTGGAGAACTTTTTTCATTCTGTGATATACTAGGTGTGGCTTTACTAAAGTGCATCCCTTGTTTTCAAGTAGCTGAATATTCTGAAACCCCTATCTGCCATTATATGGGATCCAGGAACCAGTTTGTTTAAATACCCACATTTTTCTATTATTTCTTTATCACTAGTTTTTCCACAAAATGATGAATAAATTCGGTATCTTCAAAACTTTCAGGAGATTCTGCATTTGGTTCCAGAAGGGTTTTTAGGTTATACACCTAAGAATTTATAGTAGCCTCATTTTCAATTTCCTGAAGGGGACAAATAGCAGAAATTGCTGCTACATCTTGATAATCCGGTGTATTTTTATTAAAAAGTTCACGAGAAACATCGCTAGTAGAAGGTTGATTTTCTTCTTTCCAAATTTCTAGGAACACTAATAAATATTTTTGAAGATGAATGTGAATCATTATCACATTCTGGAACAAAACACTTTTTCGTAGTCATAATATTTATAAAAAGTACAAAATTAAACACTCAAATTCCAAATAAATTCTTGATTGAGACACTATGATGACAGATGCCATACACAGTGCTGCCATTTTGCCATTTTCTGAATTATTAAGTGACTTTTAAAACAATGAAACTTTAAATATGGTAAAAGTTTAAACAGAAATAATACTTTCAAAAAACATTGAATATTATATATTTAAAAGATATTTGTTTAACGATGTTTTAGAAGTCTAAAAGTAAGAAGGAGTACACAAACGAACGTACATCACTTCTCGTAAACCTTCTAGCCGGCAACGTTGTGCGCTAGCTCATATTGGTCTATTCCCGGTGACGTCATACATTTTAAAAAAAATCATAACTTCGGCAAATGAATAGATAAAAAAAAAATTAAAAAAAAAGTAGTTTTATTTTCAACTCTATTATTCATAAAAAAAAATTTCAAAATTTTTCAACATGCCCCATTGTCAATATTTAGTGATTGGTTCTTGCTCAGCATATAATTTTTTGAGTGGCCTATTAGAGTTATGGCCAAAAATTAACTCGTATGGGGTGAAACCATGTGTTTTATTGATATGAGCTTTGACTTCTTGATTGTGTATCTGTGGATACCTATGAGACTTTGTATATATTGGTTTGATTTTATTTGTATCAATAGAATGTTTGATTTCACTGTCAATTGACAGTTGATTAGTTTTTAAATAAAATATGTCAGAAAAATTAATGCAAAGTTGGGTAATTAAATCTTTTTTCTCTTCATTAGAATGAACTAATGGTAATTTATTTTTTATTTCGAAATTCCGGTCGTTACACGTTTTAATTTCTTCGGAATTGTAATTATTTACATTATTAAATGATTCTAATTTAAAAGTGGAAGAGTTGACAGTTTTAGGAATAGCATTTATATCATTATGACCTGAGGTGAAAAATACGCCGTTTTATCTATTTTTACTATCGCGTTTGGTAATTTGAACTTCTCGGTTTCTTGTCCTAACAATAAAGCTTCTGTGTTTCTCGGATTACATTTTAATTTAGACATCTGTTCTACATGGGAACCTATAGTAATTTTATTATCGTTTATTTTTAAATTTTCATTTTCATTTTTGCAATTATCTATTGGATCGCTTTCTATTTTAAATAATGGCAATGTTTTAAAATTAGTTATGAGTTCTCGGTTTTTTATATCTACAATGCATTTGTATTGTTCTAGAAAATCTGATCCTAGTAATCCATCAAAATCAATATATAAATCACAGATGTATACTTTGTGTGGATCATTTTTTGTAAATGGAATAAGTACAGATTCGTTCATCACTATTTTTTGATCTGTTATGCCTTGGATAGTAACATTTTCGCGATATCTATTTTTATAGTTCAAACAAGTATGTGGTTTAAATACGGATATATCCGCGCCAATATCGATCAATATTTTAAAAGTATTTGTTGCATCTTTTATGTAAAACATATTTTTTGAATTAACTGTAAAAGCAGGACTTATAGGAATATCTGTTCCGGAAATTTAGAATTCGGAGTGAATTCGTCTAAATTCGAAGTTTGGAATTTCGTTTCCAGATTGGAAAATGTGAAAATGTTTGATTCTGATTCAGGGTAGGTGGGTCCGTTTTGACTGGACTCGTCAGAATTTTCACAGTAACTATTATCAACGTAATAGTTTGTAAATTCTGTGCAATTTGCGGATTCCTTAAAATTTAAAATATTATTAGTATAATGATCTTTAACCTGGTCTTGATTATTAGCAGTATAATAATCATCCAGTGGTTCTAAACTATTAGCAGTATAATAGTTATTAAATGTTTCTTCATTATTTAAAACATGTGCGTCGTAGAAAAAATCATCTACATATTCTTGAGGTTGGTGGAAATTGATATGAAAGGTTCTTCGGTAGTTTTGATTAAAATTCGGGTTAGATTGTGTATGAAAGGTTCTTTGATTGTTTTGATTAAAATTCTGGTTTGATTGTGTAACGGATGGTCTACTATAATTTACATTAGGATTAGGCTTAATAACTGATTCACGATTTTGAATTGGAGGCCCTTGTCCTCGTTGTACATTATAAGAATTATTTTGGAAAGGTTGAGTTTGGTTTGAGCCAGAAGAGCTCGGGAAATTCCCTGCAGAATTGTTTCTGAAATTTTGAGCTTGTCTTTGTCTAGTAAGGTATTCATTGATTGTATGGCCAATACGTTTACAAAATGAACACTGTTTGACAGGAAAAGTTGGTTTGCGTGTATTAGAACTAGAAGCTTGATTGGGATTATTTTTTTGGATTTTTTGAAATTCAAAATAACTTAACTGAAGTTCACGTTTTATTCTAGTTGCGGCTAAAATTATATTTGTAGGGTTTTACTTGCCCTGACAATATGTCCCATTTTAGGATCTAGTCCGGTTAGCAAAGTATTTGAACTAATGATTCCACAAGACGAGCTTGTGCGGTTTTTTGTTCTACGGTTAAAGACTGTTTACCAATTGCAGAATGCATTTTGGCCTCATGCGTTTGTAAACGCGCAATAAAAGTAAATGGAGTGTGGTTTGAAAGCTGACGCATTCTTTGCAAATCTTGGATAAGTGAATTTAAATAGCGCGTATCGGAAAAATGTGTTTCTAGCAAACCTTTTATATCATCCCATGAATTAGGATCTCGTGAAATAATTAATTCAGAGGCTCTACCTTTTAATTTATTTTTTATATGAAGAATTAGAAGCTTTTTTTGATCATTTATGCACATACGAATGGCAGTTTTGCAAGCAAATTATTTAAATCAAATTCCGGTACTATTGAAAAGATTTCTGAAAGTTTGTACATTTCAATAGAAGGAATTGGATCTTGAGGGTTATTATTTGCTGCGGATTGACGTGTTTCAGGCATTTTAACTTGTTAGAAAAATATTCACAAAAATATGATAATAGAACGTAAAAATGTTGTTTCACAAAAAATATTGAAACAAAAGAGAGATTCTTACGTGAATGATGTTTTTATTTTCGTCTACTTAGATGAAATCAGGTTCCGTAAGCGTTGCTACACCAGGTGGGCCAACTGCATGTTCCCAATACCGCAGTAGTTGGAGTGTTGTTTCTTTGAGCGTTGTTCTTCCTTAAAGGTTAGGAAACCACCACATTTAGTTAGGATATCCATGTTCTAAATGTGTTGAGGAATTCTACTGACTGTGCCACTGTTATATCTTGAATAACACTAATAGGTTTTAAAAAACTAACTGAAGTTTTAAGTTTGTGTCACCACTATTTATAACATAGGTAAAACAAAAGAAATATCTAAAAGGTGTAATGTGACGAAAGTGTTGCATTTACAAGAAATGCAACTTGGCTGAATATAATCCTAGAGGTCAATGATAACCATTCTAGGAATTGCAACTAAGCATTATTTAACTTTAGATAATTTACTATTATATAATATATAGTGTGAATTTTTTATATAACATGCATATTTATTTCCAGTGGGTCGTTTGTGTGTGTTAATTTTTCGACGTAACGCATTTTAAGAAACTTTTGGCCTATTAACATTTGTCATTCGGATACAAAATATCCGTAAAACCCTGCTTTTCACCATAAATATTATTGGACAAATTTTTCATAGAAAAAAAATAAATTTCTAAAATTTCGTTTTAAATTTTGTTTCGACTTGAAAGTAACTGGTCGGAACGAACTAATCCGAAATTATACTTCCTGCAATTTTACTTTTCACCAAATTTAGTAGGTATTTATGTACCTACCAACCATATATTATTATTATTTATATTCTCTTTAACACTCTACTGACCGCATACTTGTCAAAATGTAGGTGAAATATTATCACCGAACTTCAGCATACCATAAATAACCAATCATTACAATACTAAATACTTTCATGACAATTTTCTATAAGCCTCCTTCCTCAATATCAATATTCCTCAAGCGTGTTGCATACGCACACGAAATATTTTAGTCTAAAAAAAATCGCTGAAGAAAGTGTTTCCTTTATAATAGCAGTATATATAGTAAAGGGTACCTAAAACAATCATTACTTTAATGTGAACCAGAGGTGCGAACAAATGGGGAAAGTCGTGGTATATCTTTTGTGCATAGGGGTCGCTCTAGCAAGTCCCACCACTAAAAATGATGACTTTCAAGGATTAGACAGTCTTTTAAAAGTAAACATTCAAGAAAAAACGTCTAAATACTCATAATAACTTTTAAAATTTTTAGTTTGGTTCTGATGTCGATATCAGAAGCAATGTTGTGGAAACTGGCAGAAGTGATAGTGGTGACATAGAAGATAAAATTGAAAATTATATTAAAAACCATGATGTTACGTTCGATTTACCGGTGATTGGATCAAAAGTTACTTTGGAAGGCAAAAATTTGGATAACGATGAGTTTGATATTAAATTGAAATTTGGTAGCGAAGTTCAAGGTATTTATTTATGAATAGTTATTTAAAAAGTATATTTGGTTATAGATCATGGATCTAATAATTAAATAAATTTCGTTGAGGAGCAAAATTTTGTGTGATGTTTATCCAACTAAATAATATTTATTATTATTATTAATATTATTATTATTTCCTTTATTTAGCTAGTTTGCTAATATCACAATATATAAATTTAGTAAAAATATACATATGAGTCAAAACACAGATAATTTAGATACAATTAAAACTAACTAAAATTCTATAGGTTGTTACTGTTTCTGAAGAAATATCCATCAATTAAGAAATATGTCACTTTGACTTTAAATGTAGTTACAGACGTTACTGATTTAATTTTCTCTGGAAGTGCGTTATATTGATTTAGACCTTTAAAAAATAGTGAATTTTGTGTTGCACTCTTAACAAATGTTTCAATATAAAAGTTATTTCTGTTCTGCGTTGGATAATTGTGGACATTAGAGTGATAATTAAGCTTCTCTTTTAGGTACATTGGAAGTTACCCGTGTTTAATTTTGTAAATAAAAATTAGCGCATTCTGTAATAAGAGACTTTTGATTACCATCCACCTCAAAGTTAGCATTAGATTAATGGAAGTATATTTTGAACAGGATAATATTATTTGCATAGTCCTATTCTGCAGCTTTTGTAGTCGGTTCAACACATTTTAATTTAGTAAAAAGAGTTGTAGACACAATAATTAAAGTGAGGTAGAATTATAGTATTATATATAATACATTTATTCCACTGTGATTAGCCAAATGTACTTCTAAATAGGAAATTTTACTTAAATGCAATAGTTTTGATAACAGTGTTGGCATGATCTATGAATCTCATCTGCTTGTGAATTTTTCTACTAACTGTATATAATTATCTCCAATTGTTATGTTATATTATTTATCAACAAACTGTGTATAGTTATAGTTGCTACTTATCAGCATACATTTTGTTCTATTTGTGTTAATTTTCAACAAATTATTGCAACACCATTTATAAACATGTTGCAGTGTTTTATTAACAACTCTTACCAAGTTATCTGAATCCTTAGAAGAAAAATATATTAGGGCATCATCAGCAGACAGGTGAATGTTACATTGACCCTTGAAATCAACAATGTCATTGATATACACTAAAAACAACAGGAACCCAATATACTTCCCTGCGGAACATCTCTGATATAGTTAATTTCCTCTGACAAAATGTTATTTACTTTTAACTTTTGTTTCCTCTTAGATAATCTACACACCACTCCAATGCTTGCTCTACTATATCCATACTTTTCAATTTTTTTATCAAACGGTTTTGATCAACAGTCTCGAATGCCCTTTGAAGATCTATAAAAATTGCCAGTGTTAGATAGTTTTTATCCAATTTATATTTCCAATCATATAAAACACACTGGATAGCTGATTCACAGTTATTTTTGCTTCTGAAGCCCGATTGTATTCTAGTAATAAGTTTATTTTGTTCTAAAAAATTAACAATTTGTTCATTAACGACCTTCTCAATGATTTTTTTGCTTTATTTGCGTTTTTTGTCTTTGGAACAGGCACTACCATAGCATTTTTTAGAGCATTAGGTATTTTTGAAATTTCTAATGACGAATTTATCAAATTTAAAAGTGGTTCTAAGAGGTTGGCAGAACGGTTTTTTAAAATATTAATGTTAATGTCATTTGTGCTACTTTTATATTTCATACCGTACATAGTTTAAATTTTTCAAGAAAATGTCCATTGTGTCTGTCTAAAATTTGATGATCTGGTATTGTATGATCAATCATACTAGCAATCGATTGGATACTGTCTATGTAAAATTTATTAAGAGCATTTGGCATGTCAAAAATATTTTTTATAATAACATTATTTTCTAGTTCAAGTTCAATTAAATTATCCGACTTATTATTTTTTGAAATCAGACATTCAAGATATTTTCACATTTCCTTTGAATTTCCCCTACTTTCGTAAATATTTTTCTCTATATGTTTACTTTTTTCCATTCAAATTACGGTAACGGCCCTATATCTATGCATTTTGTATTCATTCCAATTATTTTCTGTTTTTTCTTGTGAATAATTTTTACATGCAAGGTCTCTGTACCTTGTGGCGGCTTTTACATTTTCATTCCACCATTTTTTGTATTTAGGAAATATTTTTATTTGTTTTCTTGGCGCTACACAATCTAATACGTTTAAAATATTTGTTACAAAATTATCATATTTTGCATTAATGTCATAAGAGTATATTATGCAACGATCATGTAATGATGGTTATTAATACACGAGCATTAACCGGGATACGAAACGAGCCAAAGGCGAGTTTCGTATGGTTTATGCGAGTGTTTTAATAACCATTACATGAGAGTTGCATACGCTATTTTTTCTACACCCGATAAATAATCAAGACCTATAAATATTCTATTTATATTGGTATTGAACACAATAACAGTAATTACTCGTATTTCTATAAAAAATTCTACAAAATTGTAATTAATGGTATTACCTTGGGTACTGGTATTACCACAGATTTTTGGGGCAAAATATTTTGTACTGCATTTTCTCCTTTCTCCTATATGTGTGGAGGAGTGTTCTATATCGCTGATATCAGACATTTTAATATTATAATTATCGAAGTTTAGCTATCTACGAAAATTTAATACGTTTTGACAACTAAAACAATTACATAGGAATTTAGGACAAACGTCAAACATCATGCTTGATTGAAAAATTGTAGGTTTCTATTGATTAAAAATCTGTATCATAATGAAAAATCTGTATCATAATGGGTATCATTATGAAACGGATTATGGGCATATAAGTGCATTATTATAATACGGGTGTAGAAAAATATTATGACAGTTCCATGCTAATGTTGAAAGTTTGTTATTAATTAAATCAAAATTTAAGTCCTTACCTCTGCTTTCAATTTCAAAAACAGTTCGCCCATCACTATTTAGTAGCACATTTGTTAAAAGCATAAAATGATCTGAAATTCTTGTTGTTTTGATAACACCAGCTGAAACCGAGTCAATATTTGTTATAACTAAATCTATTAGTGTACCTCCACCACTTCTATTTGGTCTTGTGCATTCTGTAACAATATTTTTTAATCCATTATCAATCAAAATATCACTTAATTTCGCACTGTAAGTGTTTTTAGTTAACACGTCAATATTAAAATCTCCAGAAACAATAACTATTTGAGAATTATCACATAAATTTTCTTCAGCTCAAGTGCTAAAACAATCTAAAAAATTTATACAGCTACTGCTAGGTGACCTATATAAATCTACAATTAAAAAATGTTTGTTTCCTAATATTACCATCACAGAAACAATCCAACAAAATGTTGGAATACAAAATTTTAAAACCTTCAGTTTACTTTGTACATAAATTAATGCACTTTCTGTGTGTCTACTTTCACTGTCAACTCTATAATTTTTGTATCCGTCAATGTCTATTTCTGAATCAAAATTATTCATACTAAACTTGTTTTTTTTTACAACACATAATTAGAGATTTCATTAATGTTGGCCAACAAGCTTTCAGCATTTAAATATAATATATTTATTGTACTTTTTAAATTGGAGTTTGAGACTTTGTGGGGAAAACCCTTATTAAGTGTGGGTGTGATAGATACGTTATCAAAAGGAGGAACAGTTAAATTATTTAAACCTGTCAAATCTATGGAACCCAAGTTATTATACACTCAAAAATATAAATGTAAAAGATATAGTAACCTAAATAATAATACACTACACACTTCTCCCCTAGAAGAGTATCAATACCCCCATCGTTCAGGTAGTTTTCTAATTATTTGAGGTCTAACACCAGTAGTGGGATTACTATCGAGACCCTTTATTAATCCAGATTGTGTTGGTACAGAGCTAGCTGCTAGATAAGGTTAACAATCTTTTTCATTGGAGAAATATCTTTTGTCAAGTTCATTGTCATAACAATATTGAACTTGATTAAAATGCTTTTTCCAAAGAAAATTACTGTTAAATTTTATCTCCAGAAAAATCGATTAACGTAATAATAGTGTCTAATAAAGAAGCTTTGAAAAATTTACTTTTATAATTAGAAAGTGGCAATATGGACATAGCAGCTCCAGAATCTAACTTCATTTTTAACGAAAAACTATTTAATTCAACATTTATAACTATAGGATTATCTGACTTCTGGAATAAACAAAGAATAGGAAAATCCTCTTCGTTTGCATTTGTGTTATCTATATTACTAGATTATGACAGAGTTTCATTCAAATAATGCATTTTTTTATATTTATATTATTAAAGACCGAAGCCAGATGACCTTTAAGAGAACATCTATTACAAATATAATCACGAAATGGGCATTTATTTACATAATGTGGATTGCCACAACGAAAACACCTTACTTTACCACTTAAATAAAAACTGTCTCCTCTCCTAGAACTGAACTCTTTTGCGGTACCCAACCCGACTACGTACCTTTATTTTCTAGGGAACTTCTAGTAATTTCTGAAATTCGATGTATATCCATTTCAGCTTTTATTTCTTCTTTCAACGCATTACCACATTCCAAAATACCTTCCTGGGTTGCTTCTCCAGTTAAAGCTATATTTAAAGCCTCTTTAAAACGTACAGAACTTTTTTCATTTAACAGTTTATTTCTAACTTTTCCTGGATTATAGCCAGTGATAAATTTTTCACACAATTTTGTATTAAATGCGGTACCAAATTCACAATACATTGCCAATTTTTGATAACGTGCAAACCATTCCTGGGCACTTTCAGATATACGTTTATTTGCAACCCTTCAACAAAAACGACATTGTTCCTAATAAAAAAATCATCAAGTTTTCTAACAATATTTTATAATTCACATTTTTCCGGTTCTTCAGGTACACAAAGAGTTTCCAAAAGTTTATATGCATCTTGATGCAGACTATTAAGCAACATTGCTCGTTCCTGACCATTCTCTGTAATCTTATTAGCGAAAAAAAATTGAG